TGGGGACATTTTGAGATTCGCCCTTTGTCCTCTCCAGCAGCTGTCCTGAAGCTTCAGGCTCTGTCCCCAACCTTGCACTTGTATTGCCCATCCTTCCTCTTACCAGCCTTCCTGTGCTCTGCCTTGCCTTCTTGATCTTTTCTTTGCTGAGAGACAGAATCTATCAAGCTGTGGAGAGCTGCAAGCCAAGAGAGCTGTCTTACAGCAGGCTGAGGTGAACTGATTTCTGCCACAATCCCTGTGGCACAGCCAGGTGTGTGGCCAGCATGGGCTTTCTCTGTGCCAACCCATTCACCCCTTTCAATCCAGCCTCTACCACTGTATGGAGCTATAAATACAACAGCCCGGGGCTCTTCTCGTTGACATCCCAATAGCTGGAACTTATCTATCCTTAAAATTTGCTTCAGGAAACAGAAGTTTAAAATGCAACATGCTGGGCTGGAAAATTGTAGTCTTTCTCTTTGAACTCTGAGAGTGCACCTAGTGAAAAAGGAGTCACTGCTGTACTTTGATATTTCCTGCAGATTTGACCAATTGGCTCTGTTTTGGAGTGTATTAAGAAAGGAGTGGTTCCCAAGGCTGTTGTATTTTGGGGGTGTCTGTATGCATTAATTTATATATATTACATAAGTATATATTTTTCTTTAATACTTATTTTTTTTGGTGTAAAGTGATAAGTAACACTGGAGCCATTTTTGACCAAATCGCTGCTCACATGGGTTAATGGGAGGAGCAGCAATTGTTTCGTAAACAGTGCTCTGCAAAGTTCATTTTATGCCAGAGCAGCTTTTCTAGAACCAGTTTTAAAGTTAATTATCAAAAGCAGGCATCTTCTCTCCACCGCTGGTGGCCCCCCGCTGGGTTTGTTGTTCAGCTTTCCTTGGGAAAGAGTCGCTCTACAGAAGATCATCGTCATGGTGTCACAGTCCAGAGAGCTGAACACGTCCGAGCTAATCAGCTTAGAACACCAGTACCATCTTAATGTGGGATTTGGGACCTTCTAGATGCAGGGTGAGAAGCTGAACTAGTCTGCAAGCACATCACTTTATTCCTTTTGCTTTAAGCAAGAATAATTTGCCTTTTCCCTCTCATCTTTCTTCCTTGTTGTTTTGCCCCTGAAAACTGTGCGGCAAAAGCAACCTCCAGGGTGGACACTAAATCTTCTGATGCAGGCAGAGCAGTGATAACATCTGAACTGAGGGTGCTTTTCCAGGGCATGCTTGACAGATGTAGCAGGGCCTTTTAGGATTTAGTACTGGAGCATATCTATTACCCGCGCTGCAGCACAGCTTGGCAGGAGCTGTGTGGTAATCTCCCATGAATTCTGTCTGACTTATCAGAGCATCTGAACAGGTTCCTGCAGGATGCAGAGTCACTGCACCAAGTTGGGGAGAAACAGACCATACACTTCTAACTCCTTTAACTCCTGCTGGCCCAAAGCCTTTCCTCCTTTCCGGGAGGAATTTATGTTTTTCTGCGTCTCCTCCTTGTACTTTCTCTTGCTTGCTCTTCACTTCCCCCAGCATATGACTTCCAGGAGCAGAATCTAATTTCTACATATCTGAGAGGGTAAGAGTAATTGCTCTAATGGCATGGCAGCCTGCCTACTTCTTTGGCAGAATGTAGTAAATATGATACACGTGGTGGAATTCAAGCTTTTGCTGGTTGCAAGTCCAGGACTTTGTTACACACAAGAGTGTGTGCTTAACAGCTTTATTCCCTCCCTTCACTGTGTGTATTTTATCTCAGTCTTACTGAGCAGTGTATTTAATGTTTGGTCTCTATCCACGATAACAATTATCTGAGCATTTTATATTTTTATATACACACACACACACACACGCCCACGCACACACACTCATATATATTAAAATCTACTCCACCAAGATTGATCACAAACACAAAATTGTTTAGATCACAGATTAAAGTTTAATTTTGGAGTTTTGCTTTAGGGTTAGAATTAGCTTCAGAGTGTGAGTTGCATAGGAGGCGCTGTAATTTGTTTTAAGGATAAGGCCTTCGGGCTGCTGTGCATAAAATGAGCATGATTCCTTATTCCCACGGTTGATTTTTGAATGGAAGTGCAATTAGAATTTTTTCACCCAGAAGCGCATACAGTACAGAGCAAAGATAATACCTTGAATGCTTATCAGCTTGGGGAACTTCTCCTGGAATTTTATTTATTGTTCACCTAGCACTAATTCAAAAAAGATCCATGCACACCCTAACAATAAACTTGCTTTTTAATTTGGAGTCTAGTGTGTTTGTAGAGACTCTTGCAGGGGCTTTATTATTACCAAGTGAGATTTCAATGGTGAATTTTAATGTCAGACACAGAAATGTGCAACCAGTTATTTCTGATAGAATGGGAGCTATTACAAACAAAACACTGATGTAGCAATGGCCTCTGTTAATCCTCAATTGCTGCAGATATTTTCCTGTCACACCAGGAAGCTGCACTGCCGACTGGTATTGAACAGCCACCATCTGAATATGTGAGGTATGTAGATGATATTTTTTCTGATTATCGATGCCAATCACATTCATCTTCCACTGAAAGAACTGAACAATCAATACTCTCAGAATATTCATTTAACCTGAGAGAGAGAGGTGAAGTCCTGCATCCAATTTTTGGATGTCATGGTCACTAAAGAGCCAGATTCTGCCATTTCCACTGCATGATATCAAAAAGACATTGCCTCGGGTAGACACATGTTAGGCATCACCTCAGTCCCCATAAAAAGAAAGCAGGAATTGATATCCCAGTTTGGGAAGTCAATTATCTTAAAATATATTATTTTCCTTAGGAGAATTTTTCAGAAATTTTTGTGTGTGTGTGTGTGTACCTGTGTGTATGAATATGGGAGAGAATCTAATAATGCCCTGGACAGGCTGAATTTGGGCTATTTATACCACATACCTGGCCTGTGTGGGAATCTAGATGGGCTGGGTGTGTCTACAAAAACCCCAGCATGGCACCCCTGCAGAGCTGGGCTGCATTAGGATTTCGAGAATCCAAGAAATGCCAGGGGAAAGAATGATTGAGGCGAATTGCTCCAAACCAATCTTTTTAAAGGCAAGAATTTTCCTCCCAAAACCTGCTTTTGTGGAAGTCTATCTTGCAAAGACTGCTTTGTTCTCTCTGCCTCAAGGAATTTCCCCAGTTCAGTGGGCAACCCAAACCCCAGGAAGGGTTTGAGCCCTACTGCAGGAACAGGTGCTGGGACAAACCTTGGAGGAGAATGTGTCCTTGTGCGCATTGTTCCTGGGGCTGGAGGGCTCCATGGAGCTTCCAGCAACACCAAAACCTTGCCCATAACCATTTATTTCATTTGAAAAAGGATGGTTTTCTCTCTTATTGAACAATCAAAGAACTTTCTGACATTTATCTTGATGGGGAAAAAAAAGAAAAAAAAAAAAAGAAACCTATTATTACAAGGACCAGGAAGCATAAATCCAGGTTGGCTCTCAGACACCTTCCACATAAATTGTATTCAGGTAAATGGTCCCTAAAAATGCCTTGATAGTACAGTGTACATCATAGTTGCTAGAAAGGAAATGTAAAGCTTCCCATTATGAAGGATAATACAAAGAAAGAAATGTATTTTCATTATCCTCCCATAGTTTCAAAATCTCTCAAGATTTGATTCAGGTCCTAAAGATATTATGAGGCAATATCTATGTTACCTTTGAGTCAACTACCATGTCTTGACACTTGATCAGTCTGCAAAAACTCCTGGAAGAATCAGAAATAAACAATTTTATTCCTCAAACAGGAACTTGTGCAGCAGCGTGAGCAAGAATGCTTTTTTCTCCTCTAAATATGACTCTAGGTCATGTAATGTATTTAATCAGAACATAACATTTTTGTATAATCCCTTTTAGAAATCTAGATTAAAAAAAAAAAAAAAAAAAGAAGAAGAAGAAATTAAAGAAAGTCCACAATAAGGACACATTTTGAAAATTCCAAGAAAGAAACTGTGTACATTGAGAGCATCTCAACCATGCTAGGTAGGAGTGAGAAGCATAAACTGAAGTGCTGAAGAGGTCTATAACTTTATGCCCTTACATTTGCATATGCAAATTCAGGAGTATAGAGGCTGTTGTTATTTTTCCTACCAAATTCTATGTGGTCTTTCCTCTCCTAGTTCCACTAGAAAAGCTCAGTTTCCAGGAATGGCCTCATTGGTTGCTATATCCATGCAAGTTTATTTGGTTGGGTCCTAAATAGAGGTTTTAAGCCACAATTTTTAAACCAAAACACACCTATGGAAACTTCTGGAACAACAGTGGAGAGCTATGAAACACTCACCATTTGCTTAGAAAATTGAAAGACTTTTGCTGGTTTTGCTAAATACTGACAGCTTGGGTCCAAAGGGGAAATCTTGTATCTTGTTCTCTTTAGGGCAGATGTTCTTGTTGGGTTTTTGTTTTGATTTTTAAATGACAAGTGATTCTCTTTCATTCTGTGTTTCCTCACGCACCCAAATAGAGTGAATGACTTCTTCCTCTGGCCTGATACCTCAGGAGGAAAACATTACCTATGGCAGGACAAAATCAATCTACTTTAACTGGAGAAAAAAAAAAAAAAAAGAAAAGGTAGAAGAACAGCCAAGTGATTTTAGGCATGGTTTGAACCAGCATTGCTTTAGAGTAGCCTCTGGGTACATGAAGGAGTAAAAGGAGTATGATGGACCCTCTGGTCCCTTAGGAGGGGTTGCCCTGGCTGAGGAGAGGCTGGATGCTCACCCCAGCCACAACACGGAGAGCTCAAGGATTGATGAACCTTGTGTTTGCCTGAGCTGCTTCAGGAGTCACTGCTCCTCAGTTTCCCACTTTCTGCCTCAGTTAGGGACTGAAATATGCTAAGATAACATTAAGTAGCTGCCCTGGATTATAGCATGGAAAGCGAGTTTTAAAAACCTGGGGAGGAGAAATTCTGCAGTGGAAAGAACCAGTGAATTGAAGTTTCTGCTATAACAAGCAAGAGAATAGCACCCTGCGGGTAACAGACCCACACATTCCCACCCAGCAGAGCACATCTTCCTTTCCAAACTCTCGGTCTACCTGGTGAATTACAAGAATAGCTTAATTAATGCTGCCAGTAGAGGGAACTGATGTACGTGTGAGTAGAAGCAGCAGCATTACTTTGGGAGGGAAAAACAAAACTTTTAAAGTATAAACACAAGCATATCCTCTGCACTTCAAGGGGGGTCAAAGGTACCACTGCCAGCACACAGAAATCAGTGGCTGGGGAGCAACAAGGGAAGGCCTGGTGCTATGTCCTTGCTCCTTACTGAAAAGTCCCACCTTCAATAGCATGAGTAGGGTATGAAGGTGGCAGAATTCAGCAGTAGGTGAACATCTATCCAGGGGATTTCAGGAGAAGAGATTGTGGATCATTTGGGCATTTTAAGACTGGTAGGCACAGCTTGAAATGGGCAATCTGAGTCAAAGCAGCAGGGAATTTTTGTTTGTTTGTTTGTTTCTGGGTTTTGGGGTTTTTTGAGTTCATTTGCTATAGATTTACGTAGTGTTCATCTTAAATCCCAAGGTTAAGGTATTGAGGTGAGCTGCTAACAAACTCACTGATGCCACATTCTTGACCAGTCTTTCTGTTTCCCCCAGTTTGGGCAGCAGAAAGTCATGAAGCAAGAGGTAGGGCTAGGAGGTCAGAGAGAAAGCATCACAGAGTATTGAGAATAAAATGCAGATGCTTTCAATGGCAATAAGAAAATCAGAAAAAAGCTGGTATTAAATAACCTTGTGCAACAGAAATCAATGAGCAGGGCTGAATATAGCTTTGGAAAGGTTCTGCTGAAAGTCATTAGTGCTGAAGTTATTACCTATGGAAGCATCTGCCAATCTAGAGGGAGTGGCAAAGCTGGGTAAATGAGCAAAAAATGGACTGCAGGAAATGTGGTGAATTCATTTACCACATTTAATTAATTAATTTTTGACTGGCAAAAAGCCTGACTTTGGCTGTAGTTATGGATAACAATCCCTTTGAAATATTTTTTTCAGAAGTTCCAATGAATGCCTTTTTTTTTTTAGCTATCTGATACTCACTTGTGCATAGAAAGGAGCAAAGTCATTTGTGCAAAGCCAAAATCTTTTTGGGGGTAGCACGCATGCTTATATTCAGATGGATGGTCATTTCTAGTTTTGGTAGCTGAGCACTCTGGTCTCTCTTTTTGAGGATGTGTGAAACTGGAAGGAAGGACAAACCACTGAAGATAAAACCAAAAACATTGTCTCCTCATTCCTAAAATTAAAATCCACGTCAAATTATATACTTTTCTGCAGGTTCTGAAATACTGAGACAAACGTTTGATGCTTTTTGGTTTGTGTGGAGGTTTGGTTTTTTTTTTCCTTTCCTTTTCCAATTCAGGTTTCCGGATAGAATTGGAAATGAGTGTGCCAAAAATACCAGGATAGAAGCTGTTCTCATGGGTGTTTCCATCTGGAATCTAATGTAGAAATGCCAGAAATCCTGTAGGAAAACCTGTTCTCATGTGGTTTCCTGCCCGGTTCAACGTTTTTGATATGTTGGGAGAGTTTGGATTATCAGCAGATAAGCAGAGAAACTGGATCTGAATGCCAAAGTTTTTTTGAAGTTTTTCCATCCCCACTGGAAGCATTATGAGGCCCATAGGCATAAGTATAGAGTCTCTCCCTTGCTGTGAAGGGTTTAAAGCTGGCTGCATAGTAATAAACAAATGCATAAATATATTCATGAGTAAGTAGGGCTTTGCTCTTTGCTTCTTTGCAAAGCTATTTCAACCACTCTGCTCTTTAAGATAATCTTTGGTTATTTGTGCAAATATTTGTGTGTTCAGAAAGTTTTATGACTCTCAGCAAGAACATGCACCTGGAAAGTTACTTTTCGAATTATTAGTTTTCATCACTTCCTATTTGTTATTCTGCATTTAAATTTCTTAGGGGTGGTTGCTGATGATCTGATCAGCTCGAAGAGACCAGTACCATGTTTCTTTAGGAAAGATGCTGAGCCCTAGCCTAAGAGGAACAGCAAATTGAACTTTCCTTTCCAAAATCCTGGTCCAAGTACACTAGCAGGCAGTATCCAGATCCTGGAGATTTTGATCCTTTCAGAGGTGAGAGGATCTTGAGCGAACCAGTGGTCTTGTCTTACCTCTATGAGATGGGGCTCATGGAAGCACTTGCATTTTTCCCCCCTCATGCTGTTCCCCTTTCCACATTTTCCTGTCATGCTTTTCCCCATCACACTCTTTCCCGTAACACTTTTCCCTTCACTTTTTTCCCTGCACTCTTTCCCCCTCTCACTTTTTCCCCCTTTGCACTCTTTCCCTGTCACAATCTTTCCAGCTTGTACTTTCTCCCTCGTGCGTTTTTCCCTTTGCACTTTTTCCTGCTTGCACTTTCCTCCTCACAATTTCCCACTTGCACTTTTTCCCGCTCTCACTTTTTCTCCCTCATATTTTTTCCTGCTTGCATTTTTCCCCTCATATTTTTTCCTGC